ATCTCCTTCAGCTGCCTGACAGACAGGCCCTCAATGTCCCTCAAGCTGGAGATGTCTGAGAGAGACGCTCTGGCCCGACGTCGCGTCTGAGGACTCACCTAAAGGATCAGAAGAACCACTAAATTATACTTTTTGTACAGAAAACTCTTTTTTTCTGGATTTCAGCCTCCCTATCATAGATGGTTTTATTTATTACTGCTTCTTTTGTACAATAAGCACTCTGACTGTAATTGGAAAATCTGAAGTATATTGAATCCTGCAATCTGCAAGAAACTGCAGTTTTTGCAGGAGGAGAGAAAGCAGTTTCAGATCCAGCCAAGAAGTTCTAAGCATTAGCATCTCATTTTCAACCCTTGCATTGGATTCCTTGCACTGCATCAACATTCAGCAACAGAAATGAAATGTATATAATATAATATATAAATAATTTCAAAATGATTGTAGGAAATCTGATCACCTCAGGAGTGTGTTCACTGGGATCCAAGTTGAGGAGAGACACCGATGTGGCGTCGCCTATATCCTGCAACACAACAACAGCAACAACAAACATTAGTTTGCACTATATGCAAAGAACAAGCCAGCTAATTGAGGATTAGGATTAGGCACTTCAGACAGCTCATTGATACCTTAGGAACAACAATGTCTCGTCCCTTCCATTCATAGAAAAGCTTATTGCTCCCTAAGCAGGCCAAGTACAAGTATTTATAGTGGATCCTGGCTGTTTGGAACTGAGCTCCCATTTCATCGCCAGTTGCGGCACTTATTCTTTCTTTTACTTTTTGCCTCTCTGCTTTCTAGAATCCCAATCAGTTTCCTTTTGGCTGGCTAACAAACTGTAGTAAAGCCAGCAAGTCTGAAAAGGTGAAAAATAAACCTCACTTCAACACTTTGTTTCTATATTTGTGTGTGGTGACATGTCAAGTGGTTCCCTTAGACTCATTTATAGCAGCTCAGCAAATAGTCTCCCTCAACTGATGACATAATGCACTAAAATCTCCCCAAACAACCTAAAGAGCTGTGGAAAAACACAGTAGACTCCTCGGAAATCCAATCTTTGTGCCTACAGATCTGTAACATCTGACAGTAAATGATCTACAGTAAATCTGTAAAATCCAAACTTTCACCAACCATGTTAATTATTTTACCCACAAATTGAGTTTTACAAGCAAACAAGAGGGGCCATGTAATGACTAGCCACAAAACTGAGAGGCTAGCAGCTATACGTCTATATCTCAGCATGTTACAGGGATACGGTTTGATTTTGATGTTATTAAAAATACTACATATTTCAAAGTCAGCCCTGACCTGGTTGGTATCAGAACTATCACTCCTGCTGAGCGGCTCCTCCTGAGAGGCGACGAAAGCAGACAGCTCAGAGGCAGATCGTGTGGTAGAAGGGGTTGGCGTATACAGGGAACGCGAGTGGAGGCTGCCCGTGTCAGGGTCCTCCTCTTCCTCAATGCCTTGGTGACAGAGCACCAAGTCCACCAGGTCTTCCTTTTCCCTGCAGGTATCGGTGGGGATGTTACGGAGTAGCAAGTACTGACGCAGGTCCTTCACTCGTAAACGCATGAGCCGAGGCCGCTGAAAGGCTGTCGCTTTCAGCAAGTGACATGTGGCACAAACGCGAAGATTCTCCTGAAGCACGGAGCACAGCGAGCAGAAGCTCTTCTTGCAGTCGCAGCAAATATACTAGTGAAGAAATAGAGTGAAAAGAAAACAAGATGATGGAAATTAGGCAATTAGTGATTTATGCACACCTTCTACCATGTGTTACTGCCAAAAATCCCTCGTATCAGAATGATGCATAAGACTGAAAAATGTGACCAAATATCTATCTGCCCTTTATTTATAGTTTTTTGACAATAACCTGTGATATTTCAGAAAAAACAGGGAGACAGTTAAGTGGACAGACAACATTTAATAGATCACTGGAAAGCATATCCATGCCAATAGACCTTCCCTGCATTTTTCAATCACTCACATCTGTTCTACCTCTCCAGGCACAGACACAGGAGACAGCTCATTTCTTTTAAGTGACAAACATCAAACAGTAATAAATGCAAGACGTGGGATTAAACTGGCACGATGAGTGAGTGAAGCACAGGGTTCAGACAGAATGAGACCCTGTGAGCCATACATGAACATCAGTGAGGATGATATCACAGAACCAGTATGTTGTCCATCTGTCTCTGAAATCAGCTAGAACGGCACAGCATTTTCAATAAAAATGAGTTGCCTCTGGGTGTAAATTAAATTCTCCACACAGCTAAATATTGTTCCAGCAATTTAGAAACTGTGGCTAATTATACTTTGCAAGAAAACAACCTCTTTACAATTTACAAGACTCAAGGATACTCTAAAAAAATAAAAAAGAAATGGTTTAAGACATGGGCTTTGATTCATTTCAATCTTTATTTTAAGTCCATTGGCCAAACAGCATTAAAATATGAAGACTGATTACAAATGTAGATGTGCATAAAGACATTCCATCAATCTACATGCCAAAAACTAGATTACTCCACAGCCAGGTACAGTCAGTAATTAGTACTTCTGACTAAAATATTCATTTAATATCCCCCTCTGCTTCAACACATGCCCTTTTTCCTCCTCATTAAGTGAGCAGACCTATTGACATGTACTGGCATCACACAGAGCACCCAGGCACCTACCTTCCTCCTGAAGACTGAGAAGGCCTGGCCACAGGCCTTGCATACAAGACTGGGACTCCCTGAGCTGGTGGGCGGGTATGTGGAATATCCCGCACTGGGGGCAAATCTGAAGGGTCCAGCACCGGCCCCAAACCCTGGCTGCTGGCCTCTGACGGCCCCAGTACCCATGACTTCATTCAGCAGACCACAGCATGAAGCCCACATGGACGAGGCCCCTGCCTGACAGTCACAAAACACCTTTACTTCAGTATTTCCTCTCTTCACATTAATGTTGTTGATGCAGCAGTTACTGACACGACATTTAACATGAATGGGTGCAACAGCAACATTTGTACTGATGGTTACCACAGAAACATATCCTGCGTTCTCTATAGAAACTACATATGGGTGTTAATTATAGATGAAATTATTAAAAGCCTTCACCCCACAGTGCTAGTTTAAGACAATAAAGCACAAAGCAAGATGTGCAGACAGGAGGAGCAAGCAGCTACAACTACCACAACACAAATACATAATTAAGCTAGCTACATAGTTAAAATATTTAGATGAGCAGCTAACGTCAACGTTGCAAGACAGCGGATAAAACAACTAAACAAAATCTTCAATAAGAAAATTAATTTACCTAAATAAGTTCATGTAGAACATTAATGTCAAGTTGATGTTTGGTGACAGACCACTGTCAGAGTTGCCGTTTTGATAATTAGCTAACACAGGCTGGGAAACATAACGGTAGCTCCGGAGACACAGCGACAAGAAGCTTGCGTTGCATTAGCTAACATTAGCTGGCAGCTATAACACTAAGCAGGACAAAAATTGGAAGAGAGATTATGTAAAGAAAAAAATGCACCTTCATTGCAGCTCCGGCGTGTCTACTGTGAAAGAACAGACTGACGGTGTAACCATTGCAATACGGACCGTCTCCTATTTTCGCTGAACTGCCTGAATGCGTCTCGGTGTGATGAGAGCTACGATCGTGCCCCGAGCACAGCCACTGCCACTGCTTCTTCTTGTCTCTGATGCTGCGGTGGTCTCGACGCAGCGGCACTGAATTGCTGCCCCCACAGGCCACATACAGAACTGAGTGCAGTCCACTTCCCAGTCTCCAGTACCAGGGGACCATATTGAGGTCATGTGCTATTGGATAGTTACATTATATAAGGTGCCTTAAAGAGTGCTTTAAATAAAGTAAAAACTACTGATCTAGAATATTTTTGCCTTCAGTATTTGTAGATTCAATATACTAAGATTAAAGTATTTTTTAATCAAACAAAATAAAAAGGTTCACTATTTTCCACCAATCCCTAGCACTGGAAGGTTTTGAAACATTAACATTTAGTCCTTCAGGTTGGGAAATAAAAGTTCAACATAAAAAATCCAAATAAAACTTCCTATTTGGGGTTTCATGTTTCTAACATCATTGCTATTGCCTGGTCAACAACTGTGTATAGATTTAAAAGAATAATTTCAGGGTGCCTTGAACTGCAATGATCCCAGTTAAAGTGTAGTTGGGGACATTTGATGCATGTCATTCCCCATCCCTCACCAAAATATCTTATAAGCATAATTATAAAAAATAATATCAATGTGATTTCTTCCATCTGACAAAAAGATTGTGGCTGGTTATTAGCTTCCTGCAATATATAGTCTAAACGAAGCATGCTGGGTCATGCCATGCATCCTATCGGCATATACAGCATTATGACTCATGTTTCTCTTTCACCTCCCCAGTCACATCAAAACCAGACATCAAAAAACAATTATAACTTTCTCACATTTTGCAGCTATCCCCTTTCTCACAAACCTTCAACTCTCCATGCCATTGTCTTGTTAAACCCAAGCCCCAGGAACCACCAAGCCTTGTTCTATAACAAGAGCTCAATCTGTAATGCTTTAAAAAATATTTTTTTTGTCACACAAAATATAAAACCTAATAATTCTGCCCATGTCACTACAATATCTAATGCTTGTGCTGTGCTTTGGTTGACACTCATATTGGGTGAAAGCATATATTTTATGATCATATTTGTCTAAAGGTCAGATTCTATATACATAGGCTAAATGCAAGATGATTTTTAAAAAATGTTAGGATATGAAAACTGCGTTTATTTACTTTACTTTTAATTTTTGTTGTTACCCTGTGTTAATTTATTGTATTCCTTACAATTTAATGTTTTCATTGTACGTGTACATGGTTTGTACACTGGCAACAAAGTATATGATTATTAAACAAAACATCAAAAAACTGATAATGGCACTTCCGGTCCGGCTCTCTCCTTCTCCCTCTCGGTGAGCGCGCCAACAACAAACGTCTCCACATGATGACGTTGACCGACGCAGGTTTTGAGTTTTTCAGCGCGACCCAGGAAAAGTAGATTGTTCCCATTTAATGATGGAAACCGACGCCGGTGTCAGTTTGATGATCATGTATGAGGACGAGTCGGTGGATGTTCGCTACGTAAACGGATCCCAGTTGCAACTGTCGCCGTGCGGCTGTGAATTCCTGCTGGTGAAAGCCACGGACCCCTCCGGCCATCCTCTGCAGCCTAGGGAGAGGGTCCGACAGAGGACGAGGTTCACCATCAGCACATACAAGGTATGGTGTCTTGTCACGGTTGGCTTCTGAGTTACAGCAACTGCATTAGCGCAACCCCATTGTATTCAGCGCGCTGATGTCATTTTGCAGGAGTTGATGGTAGCTGCATTGGCTTTTAGGAACAAACATGCAAGTCAACCATATCTGCCAGAGGAACTCATCCCTGCTGAACACAGGAAGGTACTAAGAGTTACTTCCTAGTCCACTGTCAGTCCCTCAAATTGTGCAAAGATGTCTGCATCTAAATAGTTTTTTCCATCTCCTCCTGCAGCCTTTTTTCAGCATTGACTCAGACGTGCAGTGGCCTGAGCGGTCTTCCTGTGAAGCAGAGCTCAGGCCTGGTGGTGAGACCATCATCAGATCTGAGGAGGGCCGAGCTGCGCTGATGCTCTCGCCATCAGGTGAAGAATTCTCCGTTGAGTTCACGTGCAGCCTCAGTCAGACTCAGAATCAGCAAAGCAGCGTGCAGTGTTCCAGCAGAGATCCTGATGGTGGGCCGGGCAGTCAGCAGCAGGTAAACAATCTCATCCGTCAGACCACCAATAACGAGACCAAAGAGGTTCATCAGGGAAGAGAAAGATGGAATGAGTCGACTAGATCAAGGTCTTGTTCTCCTCGGATTACCAGCACTTCTCAGCCAAAGGTAATCCTTCTTAGAAATATTCCTGTGCTAACATCTCATCTTTGATGAACTATTTCATTTCTCATCTCTTCCTTTCCCAGCCAGGGGAGATGTACCAATCCACCACAGTGGTCCAGCATCACTCCTGCTTTGCTTACGCCCCCATGTGGTCTTACCCTCTCTCCTTGGCTCGTCATCACTGGACGGCTTGTTTCTCTAAACTTAAAGCTGTCGGACCCGAGGGAACTGGTGATTCTGCCCAGGCGGGCAGGAGAATAAATATGTCTGACATATTTAGTGAAGAGAGAAGGTCTCACCTACCTGAGGCGCTACCTCTCACGTGTCCATCACCTCACAGGCACAGGTTTGTTGATTAATAAGAAGCACATAGGGCACTATTTAACAATGCTCAGTGACTGATTTAAGCTTCCTTACTTAAATCACTTAAACCCCAAACTTCCTTACTTTAAGGTGGAAGAGTAAAGACCCCCTGACCAAAAAAGAACAGTCAGATCAAGACCTTGCAACAGAGCTGGTGAAAGTGATGTGGTGTCAAGGAGTCACTTACAGGTAGGATTGCAAGTTTTCAAGCACCTTAAAGATCTTGACTCTAAAAGAAAACCTCTGTTCTATAGGTTATTTTCAAAACATGCCAGTAGAACTCATCGCTTTCTACAAATGAAGCATTGAAAGTTGTGTATATTTGATACACAGAATAAGCATGCAAACTTATCATACAAAGTGATTTTTTATTTAGCTATATTTTATTTTGTGAAGGCAAAAACAGGAGGAAAAGTCCTTTTTAGGTGCATATTTTCAAACTTGTCATGTATAGAATGTGATTTTTGTTTTATGTTAACCTACTTATTTGAGTGATGAATAATATATACAGCTACACTGTGTTTACCTATAACCTGTACCAGTATCCTCTCTTGTGTAGGATACTGAACGGAGCAGTCTCAGTCATAGAGGTTTCCCCAGGAGACGGTTCAGTGATCCGGTCTAACGGAGTCCTTAGCACTTATTTTACCCATCACCAACGTGAGCTCCAGTCAGGGCGGGTCAGTTTAAGTCTTTCATCTTGTAGCTGTCACATAAAATAATCCACTACATCAAAAGAATAGCAGGTCACCGTCTTTTGGAAACTACAATAAAAAGCCAATCTTGTCTCTTGCATGCATAAGTGCACAATGCCGAAGTATTTGATCGTGTCCATCTCACAGGTGAAAGAGCTATCATACCATCTGAACAGCCTTCCACCGGATGTATGCGGACAGGTTTACTCTATATGCTCTATTGTGAGTCGTGCAAGCAGGTAAGCTACCACCTTCATCGCGATGTCTGATGAATGTCATGGTTTTACTTTATTTAAGTCTCCAGTCATCACATCACTGTTTTACAGGATCCTCACTTGCTACGACCAGACGAAGCAATCGCTGAAGCTCCCTGCCACACCCAGCTGCTTGCAAGAAGCCAAAGAAGTAGTCCCTGCTGATATTGCTATAGCTGTTTATATCTATAGTATTTGTACAGGATTCATGCTTCTAAGATGATAATAATAATGATGTATTATTTTGTTTGCAGGGCAGATGTTTTTCTAAACCACCGATGCTTGAGGAATATCTGTCCAATCCTGCACCTGTCGAGCATCACATGACAGTAGAAAGTTGGTCAGTAAAATTTTTCACTCCTTTAGTATTACACTATTGAAAGTTGGATGCTGTATTAACAGTTTGTATGCAATGTCCATGTGATCATCCATTCACTTCAGGTCAGATCTTGTAGCTGCGGAACTGGAGAAGATAAAACGGTTCAACTGTATCCTTTAACTTGTAGATGACGGCACGAAAACGTTGTGGTTATGAATAGTGATTTTTGTTGTGAGATTTTGCAAATTAGCCACGTTTATGTTGAGGATGATTTTGCATGCTCTTTAACATCCTGTGCCCAGTTCTTCTGGAGAACAGCCAACTCAAAAGAAGTGAGAAACGGTGGGCGGAGCTGCAACATAGTTCTGCAGAAGAGGAGACTCATGAACCAGTGGATGAGAGCTCCATTGCTGAGGCTCTTCAGAGGACATCCAGAGCCATACAGGACATTGATGCTCTCATTTCTGCAACCACACTCACTTGAAAGAGTGATACGAGATATGAGCTTGACTGTAAAAATGTAAATCGGGTTTACCGTTATGTACAGATACTCAAATAAAAATGTATCTTTATGTAATGGTGTTGCAAAGTTCTTTGTCATTTAATTGAATTCAGTTGGTTGTATTTACCTGCCAAATGAACAAACATAGAAGCCATTACAACGTTTTTATCACCACACGGTCCCTTCCTGTCAAGGTCTGAGATAAGAATTTGCAATGGTGCAAAATAACTTTAACATTTTGACATTTCCTTCCTAAACATATGACGAATATGGTGCGTGGTTACCGTGTACAGGTTGTGACTGATAAGAAAAAGTCTTGCCGTGACAAAGGTTTCGATATTACTGGATTATAAATTGGGTTTAATTTTAGGTGTGTGGGTGGAATGTAGGTCACTATACATGCAAGCTGTGGTCTTGTGTTTAACCATATACCACAGGTGAAATATGTATATATGTATAATATTAGGGCAGTGTTGACAGCTCAGAGAGGGCTAGAAATGTTTTATTTCATGCTCCTAAAAGTTACTAAATAACAGTAGACAGTAGTTTTGATCCACATAAGGACTCAACATCATAAAACGCCTGCCATTGTAGTTGACCTTTCCGTGTTTTCAGAAATCACATTGAAAGATGAAGGAGGGAAGGCCATTTATGTAAATACACTCTACTTGGCAAATGGCAAATTTCTCAATAAGTTACAGCAAAAGAAAGAGCAGCTGGAAAGAACTGTACCTACATCCATGTTCAAATTCCTCCTCAGGAAAAAGACACAAAGTCTCACCAATACCAAAACCTATGGAGTCAGTAATGACACAGGGTTTAAGAAATCTTATCTATCAATTTAAATCATATAACTTTAATAAACAGTATAACTTTACTTCTTTGGTGTATCTTACAGTCTTTTAATCACACCGTGCAGACAAGTGTTGCCTTTTTTCACTCAGTGTCAAATACTTCCTTTTATAGGTGGAGCATTCCTGTGGCACACAAACTAGAAGGACACACACACAGAGACACGCTTATGTTTGCGCACAAAGATCAGGTGAGTGATTTCTGACAAATTTTTCAAGCCATGTTATGAAAAATTCTTACATTTTTGTTGTGAGGTTATTTTTGCATCCAGAAGTATGCATTCAATTTTATTATTTATGTTAATATATGTTACAAACATTTGTTGTAACTTGTCTTTTAATAATATTTTTAACAATCTGATGTAAATCTGTAATGACTGATTTCCTCTTTTTTCCCTTTTCAAATAAGTGGTAACAGAAAAGAGTGAAAGTAAGAACAAGCTCTGAACAGAAATTCTTTCACCATCCTCTGTACAGAAAAGAGAGTCACACACGTGGGGTCTCATGGCTGTACGTCACGGCTCTATGCCAGATGCTACCAGTAAACTGGCACTCAAAGAAAAGGTCTGCGCTGAATCCTCTGTTAAATCCAGAATAGCTGCTCTGATGGGAGATCTATCAGGTGCTGCAATCATAACCCATAGCTCCCACACTCCTGAGCCTGACTTCAAGGGAAGTCTCCTTAAAACACAGAAACCAAAACCTGTAAGAACTCAAAGTAAACTTGAAAGACAGAGCAGTGACCCCTCTGTTCCTAAGAAGAGGCTTCCTCCTGTGCTCGTTCTGGGAAGCCCTCCTCAGAAACCTGAGAGACCTCCAAATGTTGACATTCATCAGTTTAGAAGGAACAGAAAAGCTTTGAATGACGGTGAGACACAGTTTTAAATGCAATGTGACTTAAGAAAATCATCATTCCCACATGGTTATTGCTTATTCAAATATTAAAATGTTAAAATTTGGAAACAGTGGCAGAATGCTCCGTAATAGAGAGTTAAATAAAAATGATATCTTTGTGTGGCAGGACCAAGGATGAAGATACCACATCATGTTGCTCCTTCACCTACCCCTCCACCTCTACATTTGAAGCCACCACCCAACCTTGCAGCTATTTTGTAAGTATCCATATTAGAGCTACTGTTTTATAATGCTTTAGATTGACATAATGAGATATGCAGGTACACGCGGTTCCTAGTGGCTTTAGAAAGTATTCTACTTGCTATACTTTTGATTGTGTTGTAGATTTAATTTTGAATCTACTGAACTGGTAACAGTGTATATGTGGATATATCATTTTTATCTTTCCAAAGGATGCAACAATCAGAGAGATTTATAAAACATCAAAAAAGAAATAGAGAAGGGGACACAAACCATGGTGAAGTCACAGATGAGAAACAGGCAGTAAGTGGTGTCAGTAAATGTGTGTATTGTATAAAGTTTACACTTTCTGTCAAAATGGTGTCTTTGATATAGGTTTTGATCCAGTGATAATTATGTTAATCAGGAACCAAAAGGAACCATAAACTCAGAGGAAATGAAAAGACGAGCCAAGAAAGAGGAGAAAAAAAAACTGAAACAACAGGAAGCCAAAGAGCAGAGGCACAAAGACACAATGATGGTGGTCAAGGTAAAAGCAAAAAAAAAAAAACCTGCACACTGGATTTAGTTTTTTAAAATAAATATGCCAACACGTGTAGATACATAGCCATTGTGACACCAGTAATATAATGCATTGTGCAGAGCAAACCGCAAACACTTTAGTAACAGAGATCAAGTAAAAAACAACAGACTCATAACTTATATCTCCTTATCCTCAACTAGATGAAAGGACCTGCTCCTCTAGTCAAGAGGGGAAAGGCACATCTTGATTTTAAAAGAGCAAAACCTGACTTCTCTCTGGATAAAGGACGGATCATTCACAATACAGGTAGGAAATAAGTCGCTAACAGACGTCCTGCGCTCACTAACAGTTACAATATGTAGAGGAGTGATGGTGATACATGTGCACTAACAAGTCCAAGCAGTGAGCTCTGCTGATATGTGCTCATATTTTCTTTCAGAAGACTATGTGAGGACTGAGTCTATTGATAAAGTCCATCCTCACAAAGAGGAGGAGGGGCCTGGGTCTATGTCTTACCAGTATGAGTCAGAGGTTTATGATGACATTGGGGCACCAGCTTATAGGTATGACATTACGTCTCTGAAACACTTCATGAACATCTTGAAAGATAGAATCAGTCACACATATTATCTTTTGTTGATTTTACACACTGTCTCATTTTTTAGTGAGCTAAACGAGCAAAATGGCAAGTTTCTTATATTGCTTTTCAATCATTTAATTCATTGATTGATATATATGAATATGATAATAAGCCCTCCATGTAGTCCTGACTGTTGATTTCCCATTTTTGAAATAGTTGAGGACGATAACCTTTATGATGAGCTGGATAATCCAAAGTCAAGGTTGTACTATTTCTCTATGTTTTGGATTTGTGCAGCCATTACAGTGGAGACCATAGTGGGATGTATTGAAAGTAAAAAGAAGTCAGCGTTTGGGTGACACCTAGTGGTAAATGTGATTATTGCAACTATAATAACTTATGCTGGTTTTGCAGTTGAAGCCTTGAAAATCTGTGTAAACTAATTTGATCAAACATAATCCAATTCAACTAATTCTACCTAATGTCTTATAATACACACTTTTATTGAGTCTGGGAGTCAGTCAACTACATTCTTCAGACCTGTTTAAACCACACCAAACTGCATCTTCGTAAAGCTTTTTTTTCTCTTCTCTCATCAGAGTTTCTCTTCTGCCACAACTAACCACAGATAGAGGTAAATATGTCTGTTATCTGAACCTTTTTACCAAATATATTTTTGCTCCTACATGCTGTACAAACCACTGTGGGTGTCACAGTGACACTAAACACTAATTTTCTCTGTGCCTTTAGATGACCTGTATGTTGATGTTGATTCCCACAGTCCTCCACTGTCTTTTAATGGGTAATAATGTGGATGAAATAAATACATGTTGTGACTCAGAAGTATAGATTTAGAAATCTTTCCAGTGATTTTTTTTACTTTAGTTTTTCACTTTGGCTTGCTACAAATACATTATTTTAGCCAACTGCTGCACCATATAATGTCTGTGTCTGTGTGACAGTATTTAAATTTTTTATTATTATTTACAGGCTTGATATTTATGACAACTTTAATGAAGGTGTGTTCTGATGACTCAAAATGCCACCACGAGCTGTGGTGTAAATGTACGTAAGTATTGTCCTTATTTGCAATGTTGAGGGAGGGAAATGTTTTACAAAAGCACAATGCATTCACATGAGGAAAAAATGTTTGCCCCATTTTTCTCAGAATACTGAAAAAAACACAGAGTACTGAGATAATAATCTCACTAATTCAGGAAAATAGGGCAAACATTTTCTCTCATGTGAATGCATTTTGCTTCTGTATTTACTTTTTATTCAAATACATTTTTATTTTACATCTGTATTATTTACTAGTCACTATGCAGACTATGATTTTACATTAAAAAAATTACATATGATGATTTTATAAAAACATGACTCATTGTTAATTTTAAGCCATACAAGTGGGAAGTTTTTTTAATTACTTACTTTAATTAATTATTTTCAATTTACCATGATGAGCTGTAACATTAAAATATTGCATACACATTTAGGCATCAGGAAAAATAAAACAATAATGTAATATTCATAGTAATATAACATTATAAAAGAGGACATTCTGTATAATAAGGATGTTTACTTTTGATATTGTACTTACATTGAATTGGTAGTAACTCTGTAAGCCCTACTTTTACTTTTGAATGCAGCATTTTATAATGGGGTATATTTTGCACTGAAGTAATTCTACCTTTACTTATGTTAATAATATTTTTTTTCTGCAGACAGTATCTATGAGATCAACTAATCTACAATGATGCGGTGATCATCATTATTCATACCTTTTATTGACCATTCACTATTTGAATTATTGTGCATTTTCTTGATCAGAAAGCATGGTCAGTGAAGATTCATTATGATGATACATGGTTTTGTTAGATCTAATGTTTCAACCTATTGTAGCTGCAGCTTTAGAGGAGTTACAAGTGCAATGGTGACTTGCTTCGTAAAATGTGGACAAATGCTATTTCTCTTCAGTGGGTGTGTTGGCTGGTAGATAAATTGGTTGAAGAAAAATGTTTACTTATCAGCATTTATTTAAGCAACTTGACTCTATATGTAACTGGTTGTTTGTTCATTGTTCATGCATACATTTTCTGTCAATGAATGTTACTTTTTATTCTTCAACAATAAATGAATGATTGGGTGTGGTGAAGATTATTTTGACCTCTATTTTAAATGCTCTTATATATGCAATGAAAAACCAAACTATCCAATGACTAGCTGCTTATAAATAATGTGTTGTAAATATACAATAATTATATTATACATAATATGTATATTATGTATAATATTAATAAATAGCTCTCTCCTCTTTGACCATGATGCAGTCGCCAGGGCAGATGTATGTTTTTTTTTTTTTTTTATGTCTGATAAGATTAGGCGGGGATTAAAGGGGATGCAGCTGATCTCAGGTCTGCGGGAGGTGTGCTGCGCCTGTGCCGCCAAACACCCCACCTTCCCCCTTCCCCCTTCCCCCTTCGTTGTCTGTTGTCTCGCGAGAAGCCGCGAAGTTTCCGGTGTTGTGTATGTTCCTGGAAACATGGCGGCCAGCTTCCGCGGCCGTCCTATCCGGAGTCTTCGGATGCGAGGTAAGCGTGAAAAACTCGATTCAGCAGTATCTGTAATAGCGGGATATTGCAAAAATAGATTTTCTCAGGCATGTGATGACCTTGGCGTGATCCCTCACCATGTGCGCGGTGTGTGTTTCTGACAGGTCGGAATGACAGCGGGGAGGAGAACGTACCGCTGGATCTGACCAGAGGTAAGCAGAGGCTTCATCACATCACCCTGAAAGCGATTATTGTTCAAAATGGATGAGGGGCATTTCTGCAGACACTAGCCCCGTGAAGTGAAAATCCAGTTCGTCTGTGCACTTGTCCTGTCAGTACTGTTGCTATGTTGTACTTTCCCTATTCTGTTTCGTCTAATAGCATCGCCAGCGATATCATAATAAGAGGCGGCAGCGAGCTAACTAACTAGCAGAGTTAGCGTTAGCTAGCTGCCACAGCTAACCAGCCATGACGACGCTCTGTTGTTTTGGTTAGTGTGAGTGGGCAAGATAGCCTGTTATTTAGCCAACCAGCCATAAGTGCTATAGGCATGCGTTGGTCATCGCTGGCTGTAGGAGAAATTGGGTTTCAGGGCTGTTAGCTAAGTAGCAATTAGACAACACAGGGTGCGCAGGGTGGTTTTTTCTAGTGGCACTGATACACAGCTGCTCAGGCTGGTCAGAGCTACTCCTCCAACAGCAACACTACGTACCAGCTCTCTGTCCTCGAATGGTTTAAGTACAATTGTAACAGGGTTATTTTGCACCTAGAATGTAAGATGAATTAAACATTAAAAGGCAACAGTATGATAGTCCCATTGACATGAGGGATGGGGTGGGGGTGGATGGGGGGTGCACCTAATCTGTCAGCTGTTTTATCACGGATTTGCAAAATATAGTATATGTAGGATATTGGTCAACCTCAAAGTTTAATTTCAGGTCAGGGAAAGTGGGTCAAAACATTATTGTGGTTTGTCACATGAATTCTTGGCAATCTTAACACTGAGGACTAAACCATGTCTGTGCCTAAGACTTCCAACATCATCATGCTCAAAATCATCATGTAGGGTTCATGTCAGATGTTTTTCTCGTATGCACATTCTTAAATGTTACACAGGCTCAAACTTGTCCAAAATTTGAGACTATTGCATATGTATATGTCAATTAATTGACCTCAGGCTATAGCTGATACATTTATGCAACAGTATATCTTACTCTAATATTGGCTGAAAATGCTTGTCAGTGCTTGTTTAATTTTATCAAATCTAATATCACAGAGTAAATAATACTGGTTTACTAGTTTTCTCTCATGGATAAAAGAACATTTGTACATTTTGTTCTCTCTACTCCAATATTTTGACTAATACTGTTAGCTGCTTTTATTTGACAGATTGAAAATTAATCTAGTTATTCCTCTTGTCAAGTTTGGAGAAAGGAGGAGATAATATTATATGGGATTTATTAAGCTGGTGTATTCATTGTTTTTTCAGCATTTATCTTTTTGTTGAAATGAAGTATCTGGAGCTTGTTTACTCTGTTTTTACATAATAGCTGGAAGGAACTGAAAACGAAAAACACTTCCCTGCTCAAGTCTTGCTTTTACTGGCTAGACCTTGTTTTGACTGTACACACTAATTTAGTTTGACCAGCTAAACCAACTTCCTTCCTGCAACATATCAAATACGGTTCATCGACTGTTATTGTGGCAATATGGCTTAATGCTTGTCTTAGTTACATTGTATTTCCTCTTTGTTCTCCTGCAGAACCATCAGAAAACTTCCGTGAAATCCTTCAAAATGTGGCCAAACCGCACGGAGTCAGTAACATGCGAAAACTGGGCCACCTGAATAACTTCATAAAGGTAACGCTGTCAAGTTGTGATGCTTTTGCCTCAAGGTTTTATTTGTTACTTGGAGGCAGTCTTGACAACACTGAGAATTAATGAAAGTAATAAAGTTGCAAGGTTATTATCTCCCAAAAACCAACATGAAAAACCAGTTAAAGGTGCGGATACAAACATACAGCTTTTCAAGAAGGTTGACTCACTGTTCAAAGATTGCCTGCAAAGACTGACTAACCATGCTCCCCCTCCTCTGTCGTCATGTCACCACTGACCTCTCCTTGATCCTCTCCTCTTGGGTGTTGCTGCCAGCAG